GGGCGGCGAACGCGGGCGGCGAACGCGGGCGGCGAACGTGGGCGGCGAACGTGGGCGCCGAACGTGGGCGCCGAAAATGGGCGCCGAAAGTGGGCCCCGAAAGCGGGCCCCGAAAGCGGGCCCCGAAAATGGGCCCCGAAAGTGGGCTCCGAAAGTGGGCCCCGAACGTGGGCTGCCAACGTGGGCGGCGAACGCGGGCGGCGAACGCGGGCGGCGAACGCGGGCGCCGAACGCGGGCGGCGAACGGGGGCGCCGAACGGGGGCGCCGAACGGGGGCGCCGAACGGGGGCGCCGAACGGGGGCGCCGAACGGGGGCGCCGAACGGGGGCGCCGAACGGGGGCGCCGAACGGGGGCGCCGAACGGGGGCGCCGAACGGGGGCGCCGACCGGGGGCGCCAAACGTGGGCGCCGAAAGTGGGCGCCGAAAGTGCGCGCCGAAAGTGCGCGCCGAAAGCGGGCCGCGCCGAAAGCGGGCCTCGAAAGCGGGCCCCGAAAGCGGGCCCCGAAAGTGGGCCCCGAAAGTGGGCCCCGAAAGTGGGCCCCGAAAGTGGGCCCCGAAAGTTGGCGCCGAAAGTGGGCGCCGAAAGTGGGCGCCGCAAGTGGGCGCCGCAAGTGGGCGCCGAAAGTGGGCCCCGAAAGTGGGCCCCGAAAGTGGGCGCCGAAAGTGGGCGCCGAAAGTGGGCGCAGCAAGTGGGCGCCGAAAGTGGGCGCCGAAAGTGGGCGCCGAAAGTGGGCGCCGAAAGTAAGCCCCGAAAGTGGGCCCCGAAAGTGGGCGCCGAAAGTGGGCGCCGCAAGTGGGCGCCGAAAGTGAGCCCCGAAAGTGGGCCCCGCAAGTGGGCGCCGCAAGTGGGCCCCGAAAGTGGGCCCCGAAAGTGGGCCCCGAAAGTGGGCGCCGAAAGTGGGCGCCGAAAGTGGGCGCCGAAAGTGGGCGCCGATCGTGGGCGCCGATCGTGGGCTTGCTTGTCGTGAATATGTCTCTTCCTTGTCGTGAAGCTGCTTGTCGCGAAACCATCCCGGCCATCCCAACCAGGTACTTGCCGCCTATCAGGTAACTGGATTGGACAACAGTACCATCTGGGAGGCACTTCAGTCCCTGCATGAACAAGGCACCATCCGTTTAGGACCTGACCAAGCAGCCGACGACATCACGGGCAGGCTACACGTTCAGAAAGTGGCGGAGTGGGATTTCACACAGCAGGAACAGAGGGCATGTCCAGAAAAGCCCGAAATCATGGTTCCCGGCTCTGGCTGGCGCCCCTGGGACCCACGGCGGCCCAGAGGATGGCGGGAACCATGATTTTGGAGAGATCCAGGCCGGAAAAGCCCGAAATCATGGTTCCCGGCTCTCTGCTGCTCTCTGCTGTTCTATGCTCTCTGCTGTTCTGCTGCTCTCTGCTGTTCTGCTGCTCTCTGCTGTTCTGCTGCTCTCTGCTGTTCTGCTGCTCTCTGCTGTTCTGCTGCTCTCTGCTGTTCTGCTGCTCTCTGCTGTTCTGCTGCTCTCTGCTGTTCTGCTGCTCTCTGCTGTTCTGCTGCTCTCTGCTGTTCTGCTGCTCTCTGCTGCTCTGCTGCTGCTCTCTGCTGTTCTGCTGCTCTCTGCTGTTCTGCTGCTCTCTGCTGTTCTGCTGCTCTCTGCTGTTCTGCTGCTCTCTGCTGTTCTGCTGCTCTCTGCTGTTCTGCTGCTCTCTGCTGTTCTGCTGCTCTCTGCTGTTCTGCTGCTCTCTGCTGTTCTGCTGCTCTCTGCTGTTCTGCTGCTCTCTGCTGTTCTGCTGCTCTCTGCTGTTCTGCTGCTCTCTGCTGCTCTCTCTCTGCTGCTCTCTGCTGCTCTCTGCTGTTCTGCTGCTCTCTGCTGTCTGCTGCTGCTCTGCTGCTGCTGCTGCTGCTCTGCTGCTCTCTGCTGCTCTCTGCTGTGCTCTGCTGCTCTCTGCTGTTCTGCTGCTCTCTGCTGTTCTGCTGCTCTCTGCTGTCTGCTGCTGCTGCTCTCTGCTGTTCTGCTGCTCTCTGCTGTTCTGCTGCTCTCTGCTGTTCTGCTGCTCTCTGCTGTTCTGCTGCTCTCTGCTGTTCTGCTGCTCTCTGCTGTTCTGCTGCTCTCTGCTGTTCTGCTGCTCTCTGCTGTTCTGCTGCTACTCTCTGCTGTTCTGCTGCTACTCTCTGCTGTTCTGCTGCTACTCTCTGCTGTTCTGCTGCTCTCTGCTGTTCTGCTGCTGCTCTCTGCTGTTCTGCTGCTACTCTCTGCTGTTCTGCTGCTACTCTCTGCTGTTCTGCTGCTGTTCTGCTGCTGTTCTGCTGCTGCTCTCTGCTGCTCTGGATTGGTTTTCGCTCGGTTGGTTTTCGCTTGAACGGATTACCTTTTCGCTCGAACGAGCGTCTTTTCGCTTGAACGATCCACCCTCGGGGGGGGGGGCTTCCGAAGCCCCCCCCCCCCTTCAGCAAGGAAGGGGGGAGGGGAGTAGTTTCAAGCTGGGGCCCCCCTTTTAGTCTATCGGGCCCCACGCGCGCGCTCTATCCAACTTGGCGACATGCTGCTCGGAGTGTGCGATCTGCCTCTTGACGCTTTCGAGGGTGGTCTGAGCGTGCTTGGTCACCGCCCGAGGGACCTCAGCAGCCAGGGCGCGCTGCGCGAGGACACGAGCACGCTGACTGGGGCCGAGGACGCCCTTGCTCGCTTCGAAATCCTCGGGGGACGTGCGAGCGAAGACGGCCAGCTGGGCGGGCGCCAGCAACTTGGGCGATGAGTCGTTGAGCTCGCTGGTGCGCTGCGCGGGCAGTGGCCCCTGGCCCCATCTCCTGGAGCCTCACGGACCCTCACTGACAGGAGGAGGCCCACGCACCGGAGGCCGTGCGTGGCCGCACTTCTAGCAACAACTCTTCCAAGACAAGCTCGTCTTGAAGCCGCACCTCTTGCGCGGGCAACGCCAAACATCGCCGCGAGACAGGCTACCCATCAAATTCGGAAAAAGGAAAAATGTTGGTTTGAATGGAAACAGTGAGGCGATCCGTCAATACTGTGCGCGACAGGGGGCCGCGAAGTCCTCCCTGCCCAAGAAACTGTCGTCCTCTGAGCAAACGCTACGGACCATAGCCGAAATGGCCATGGGCCTCTTCCTCTTCCTTTTTCTCCTCCTCTTCCTCCTCCTCCTCCTCCTCGAATGTACGCAGCGCCCCTTTTGTGATTGCGCATGACACGATGAAATCCTTTAGGGAGCTCCAGGTCCGCTGTGAAACCTGTCGCCGGATAGAAAACGAAACAGGGTAAAGGGAAGTAATGGGTAGGAAGGGTAGGATGTCACATGTGGCGCCAGCGCGCCCAGTTTGCCCTCGCCCCCAGTAGCCTCACCAAACCATTGAGGACCCCACTTCCAGGGTTCTCATTAGCACCGCGCCGTAATTAAATAATTCTGGGGGGCGGTTTTCGCCGAACGATATGGTTAGCCTCGCGCAAATGGAACGAAAATGAATAGTTCCTGCGCCCCGGCTCGGGTGGTATCCAAATTAGAATTGGAATAAGAATAGATGAATACGAACAATAACAATACGAATAATAATAATAACGATGAAAGTAAAAGTAATACTAAGAATATTAATAAGCGTAATAATCATACTCGAAGTATGAATAAGAATAATAATCATACTAAGAATATTAACAAAAACAACAATAACCATACTACTAAGAGCTGCTTCTCATTATCTTCATCATCCTTGTCCTATATGACTTGAAGTGCCACCCCTGTTGAAAAATTGTCTGATCCTGGCCGTCGTGTGGGGTAGGTAGTGCATCCAAGGATATCGCCCCCGCCACGCACGGCGCGTTATCTCAGCACCGCACCCGCACAAAAACAATTACGACAGCTTGTCCGAAAAGACAAGAAGTACAATAAGACCAAAAACAAGAATAATAACACATATTATGATACGGAAGATCATAATAATTCGCCCGCCCAACGGGCCAGAGGCGTGCTAAGATCTCCGGTAACTACTTAACACTACTTCTAGTTCGCGCGCGCGGGGCGGCCCCTGGGGGGCCCCGGACGAAAAATACCCCGGCCGATCCCCGGCTGACCCCTGGGCGATACCCAGGGGAAGGTTATTTTTCGCCACCCCTCACGAGGATCGTGGCCTCCGAGGGGGGGGCTGCCTACGACTACCCCCCTCCCGCCCCAAGGGGCCCCCAAGAGCCCCCCAAGAGGCCCCAGGGGAGCCCAATACGCCGCCAAAGAGCCCCAAGACGCTCCCAAGAAACCCCAAGACGGCCCCACGAGGCCCCAAATAGCGCTCCAGGGCCGGCGGAATGAGCGAAGCGATTAAATAATACAAATAAAAGTAATGATCATAAAAAACAAAATCCGAAAACTGACCAGTTCCCCTGCTTTTTTCCTCTCTCCCTCCTTTTTCTAATTTTCTTCATCATCCTGTCCTATATAATTCTTATTGCCACCTCTATTGGCATTTGTTTTTCCCGGCTGTCGTGTGGGGTAGGTGCATCCGAAAATATCGCCCCTGCCACGCACGGCGCGTTATCTTCGCACCCGCACCGCGAAAATGATTCGCCCCCCATCGTAATCACGGACGGTTCCTTTTCAAAGCTGGTCTCTCCCCTGCACGGGCGCCCCTGCTCGGAAGGCCGAGCGCTGGGAAGACGCGCGGCCACTCCAGTTCTCCCCCAGACCGACCACCTGACGCACACTCGTCAGCGTCCAGAGCAGTTTCTGAGGATGTCTCAGGCGAGGCGCTCGTTTCAGAACCACAAGGAGACCATGTTGCGAGAAGGTCTCAGGCGGTTTGCTTGTTTCGGCGAGCAGACTCGTCTGCGTTCACATTAAGGTGCGAGATGCCAGGGTTACGCTTTTGGGGTGCCGGGTGCGTTGCACTTTCGCCGGAGATAAAAGGGGGTTCTTAATTGCCAAATGCGGTTATCCCCATCCCCCTTCTCCGTATCTCCCATCCCCCTCCTCGCCCTCCCCCCTCCTCCCCCCTGCTCCCCCCCCCAGGGGAAGGGGCGCCGCCTGCTTCACGGCGATGCCGCCCAAGTGCACCACGCCTGGCGAGACCCGCGCAACCTGCACCGCCCCGTGGCCGACCTGCCCGGACTCGTTGGAGGAGCCCCAGGAAACCAGGGCGTGGCCTGGCGCAGGGCGCCGCCGACGGCCGCCCACCGCCGCCTGAGGCTCAGAGGCCTTGCCGCGCGCAGGCCTTGCTACACAAGGGCGTGTCCCCGGCCCCCGCTTCCGCTTCAGGCCCGGGGGGGCGAAAGCGCACCACTCCATGCCGTGCGCGTGTGCAAGAATCTCGGGGGGCATCTTCAGACGGCAGCCCTTCGAATCCAGCTCACCATCGGCTTGCGCTGCCGCTGGACACTGCCCTTGGGCAAAATCATGCACGGTCGACTCGGCAGGGCCCCACCATGGGTCGGGCCTTGCCCCTAGAGGGGCCCGACTTGAACGCGCGCCGATGCCAGGAGCATTGCTTCACTCGCGCGAGTTGGCCCTCGAGTCAGGCACGGGTGGAGTCATGCATATATTGTAAAAACATTTGGCGAGCTTGGCCGCCTGGTTGGCCGACGCTCCAAGACGGCCCGGCAGGCCCCCCAAGATCGTCTCAAGACGGCTCAAGAGGGCAACAAAATAGCCCGAGAGGGTCTTAAGACGACCCAAGAGGCCCTCCAAACGGCCCAGTAGATCTAAAAGACGGCCCTAGAGCGCACAAAGAGGGACCCATGACTGTCCAGAGAAGGCTCCAAGACGACCTCCGAAGGCCAGCGGGTCCTTAGAGGCCCCCACAAGCCGCCAAGAGACCCCCCAAAGGCCCCAGGAGGCCCCCACACGGCCTCTCTGAGGGCCCCGAGAGGCCCCCAGGAATGGCCCCAAGAGAGCCTCGAGGGGCTTCCTCCGCCTCCTCCCCGTCCGCCTTCTCCTCCCTCTTACGCAGCGGTTGCAGGAACACATCTCTAGCTCGATCGCCTGGCCAGACTTCCACCCAACGTTTGGCCACATGGTCGCTTCCAAAAGGCGGGGGGGCGGCGCTGATTCGCCGCAGGCGTCTTCGATCCGCCAACCCCCCGTGCTTGCCACAGGGACACACAGCGTGCCAAGCTTCCGGTGTTCTGGCCCTCCCAGAAGGTTACCACCGTGGTCTCGGCCAACCGCGCCACCGTGTCCAGGGCGTCCAGACATCTGCCGACGCCCGCCTCCACGACGGCCAAAGCGCCAAAGGTGGCCCAAGACGGCGGGGTGGGCGGGATGGGCCGAAGGCCACCAGCAATCTGCCGCCCCTTCGGCGTGTGTGTGGGGGATTTTCTGTTTTCGCCGTCGTCGTCGTCGTCGCCGTCGCATTCGCCATCGCCGCCGCCATCGCCGCCGCCGTCGCCATCGCCGTCGCCGTCGCCGCCGCCGCCGCCGCCGCCGTCGTCGTCGTCGTCGTCGCCGTCGCCGCCGTCGCCGCCGCCGTCGCCGCCGTCGCCGCCGCCGCCGCCGCCGCCGCCGTCGTCGTCGTCGTCGTCGTCGTCGTCGTCGTCGTCGTCGTCGTCGTCGTCGTCGTCGTTGCCGTCGTCGTCGTCGTCGTCGTCGTCGCAGGCAGCGGACCGCAAAAGAGCCCTCGGCGTGCGTGCTGGAGCGCTAGGAGGGTGGGTAGGCGGGGGAGCCCGCAAAGCGCGGAACGTAGGAGGAACTGGGGTAGGGAGGGAGGGAGGGAGGGAGGGAGGGAGGGAGGATGAGGATGAGAATGAAGGAGGAAGGAGGATGAGGGATGAGGGAGGATGAGGGAAGAATAGGAAGCAAAAGCCCAACCCTCATGAAAATCACCCCGACGAACGAAGCCGTTAGTAAACGCACCCAAGGAAAGAATCGAACAACGCAAGGCTGTTTAGTCAACTCCAAGGATCGGAACCGGGGGGGCCTCCTCCTCTGGGGGAGGATGAGGGAAGAAGGATCACGATCTGGATCAGAGCTGCGAAAGAGCCTCTTGTCTTGGTCATCTACGAGATTGAGACCAAGCTCGGAGGAACAAAACACATGTTCAGGCTCGGAACGGGGGTGCATCCAACTAAGGAAGAAGGATAAAAGGGATCGAGAGCTTCGAACTTGTGGCATGTACGGATGCGCTTCTGGTGGCCCTGGAGCGTGTCCTTGCCCCGCCTCTTTGCACTTGCCCTCGTAGTTTCCCACTCGTCTGGAGGGCCTGGATGGTGGTAGTCTGCACTGGCGTGAGGTACGTGTAGAAGGTGGCCACCGCTGGCCCTGCCAGCAGCTGGGTGTTGGCCGAAACCTGCTGGAACGGCACTGTCGGCAGCTTCACGAGCTTGGGGTCGCCCTTGGCTAGGTAGGCTTCTCCTCCCCGCTGGGCGCAAACTGCCTTTGCCCGTTGAGCTGCCGCATGCGCAGGTCCCACCTTTTTGTGTGTGGCTCCTCTTGTTCCAGCATGTCCTTGTCCGCGTCCGTGGCGAAGCAGGAGAGGAGGAAAACCGTTGCTGCAAGTGAGGCGCACGCAGGAACCAACAGTGGGATTTTGAGGACGTCGTCCACGCCGAGGGCCGAGGCAAGCTGAGAGATCGATCATGTTGTGCATGGTGGGGGGAGAAGGCAACGGAAGGCTCCGAGTCCCACATGGTTGCGTCGGGCCACTGGCCCACATGATGCTCGTAATCGAGGTAGACGAAGGTGGGCCCTGTACTGCATCCTGGCATACTTGGGGCTCGTGTAAACGTAAGGGTTGTCTTTTCTGCCGCCGATGAAACCAAGGTAGGCACGCCAACAATCTGGGTTGAGAGGTAATCGAATCCAGGGAGGTGACCAGTACTGCTGTAGACGGTACACGCAACGCCAAATGTGGGAACGCATGTGTAATATACGTAGTCCTGGTACGGAAGGCTGGGCGTACGTGTTGTCGGGCGGGAAACCCTGGCTGTAGTGAGCATCCAATGTGGCGAAGCCGACCTAGTACATGTGGTCGGGGTTACCTGCTAAGCATGCCCACGATGCCTCGATGAGCCCCTGGAGGAGGAAGAGGACGAGGAGGAGAAAGAGGAGGAGGAAAAGGAGGAGGAGGAATCAGGAGGAGAAGGAGGAGGAGGAGGACGAGGTTAATGATGATGATGATGATGATGATGATGAGGAGGAGGAGGAGGAGGAGGAGGAGGAGGAGGAGGAGGGAGGAGGAGGAGGAGAGGAGGAGGAGGAGGAGGAGGAGGAGGAGGAGGAAGAGGAAGAGGAGGAGGAGGAGGAGGAGGAGGAGGAGGAGGAGGAGGAGGAGGAGGAAAAGGAGGAGGATGAGGATGAGGAGGAGGAGGCGGAGGCGGAAGACGAGGAATAGGAGGAGGAAGGTGGGGAGGACGAAGATGACGAGGACCCGTGTAAAACCAAAAAGCATCAACGATGTCGGAATTAACCCTCCCTCCAAGCTCCCTCTTCATAGGCACCCACAACGGTTCATTTCCATTTAAGGATATGCCTCGCTGGGAGGCAACAGTTTGAAGATGCAGAAGCATGCCAAAACATTGTTCTCGGGATTTCAACGCCACGTATCTACCTGACTGCTGCGTTTTGACGATCCGGAATCGCGCTAAAACGCCATTTTTTGCTCTAGCACCGCGAACCAACATAATTGTTGCACCCGCATAATCCTGAATCCTTCCAATACACCATTACAGGTACGCTGATCATGGGAATCCGTGAAATTCTGACACGTTTTGAAACAATTGTGCGCGGCGCTGAGGCGAACGCAACATTTTGAAAACGACCCGCCCTCAATCCTCGAAACTCTTGCAACTTTTGTATAGCGAATGTGCGCGGCACCGAAGCGAAAACCGCATTTTGACAACGGCCCGCCCTCAATCCGTGAAGCTTTTGTAAATATTAAAACGAATGTGCGCGGCGTTGCGGCGAAAGCCACATTTCGATTCCAGGAGGGGCGTCTGGCGGGAGCGTCGGTGACACACTGATTACTTTCCATATGTTCAAGCACCAGGGCGATGGCAACTACCAGCTCAGTCTGAAGAGAAAGTGTGTGCGTGTTCCGCCGCGCCGCGCAAGCACAGAAAAAAGGCCATACAATTTGAACTGACTTCAAATCCCCTAGGTAAGGGTGGGCTTGAGGGAGCCAGAATGGACTACAAAGCAGAGACACTCCCTGACGACGCTCAACCCTCGGAGGGATCAACCACCAGCAAGCAGTTATATGATTCCAGGAAGGGCGTCTGGCGGGGGCGTCGGAGACTCGCTGATTACTTTCCATCTGTTCAAGCACCACGGCGATGGCAACCAACTCAGTTTGAAGAGAAAAGTGCGTGCGCCTTCCGACACGCCGCGCAAGCGCAGGAAAAAAAGCCATACAAGTCGAACTGGCTTCAAATCCCATATCAAGACCCACAACAGGTATGTGCACGGGTGGTGGCGGGGAGAGGGTGGCAGACATAACGAAAAAAACGAGCGATGGCTCACAGCTCGCTTGCGGTGCCCTTTTCTGGTCGGCCCGCCGACCACAACGGACACCGCAATCGATGGCTCACAGCCGTCTCGGGCGGACGGAGCCACAGAACAGACACTTCAAGTTACACTGAGCGCATTCACAGTACTGGCGGCTCGCAGGAGGCAAACGATTGAGAGTTTGCTGAATCTTACCTGGCTTGGCATAGCGACGAACCGTATCTACGCACTTCACTCTAGCGCGGGACTGGATTCCACTCAAAGTGCGGCGGCGCTTCAGCAGGTCATCAGAAGCACCACCGTGGCGCAGCTGGTAGAACGACGCGGCGGCGCCCAGCTTGTCGGCAGCAGCTTTGAAGGGGCGAGCGGTCCTGACGGCATCCAGCGGGAAGAGGGCCCGCTCGTCGGTGGCGTTCGCAGCCCAGGATCCCAGCACCTCGCCCAGCCACTCGGGGTGGTCGAAGATGACGATGTCGTCGAAGGTCTGGGTCTTGGAAGGCTGCAGCCGCTCTTCAGGCGCCGCCATCGCAGCGCTGCCTCCTCTGACGCACCTGGCTTTACCAGGTCGCCCACTTTGGCGCGAAGCAACTCACCAGGACGGAACGAGCCCGCAAATACGGACTCGACGTAGAGGACCGCGGACCGCTCACCGCCGAAGATCCAGAGGGCGCCGATGCCTGACTTGACCTCGATCGGCAAAGGCGTCCTGCTGACAGGAGGGGGCCGCATTCTGCATCCCTTCAGGGCCCGTTGAAGTCGAGGGTAGTCTCGAACTTTTCATGGCAGCGTGCTGTGCAACAGGCCGTGCACCGTCTTCTCGGCGTGCGTGAGCTTCACGTTGTCGGCCAAGAGCTCGTCCAGGTAGTCGAGCAGGTCCACCTCCAGCTCGCCGTGGTCGTCGGTGCTCCTGCCTCGGCGCCGCTGCCACTCGCGGAACAGGTTCTCGAAATGCGTGTAGGCGGCCGAGCCCTTTGGCGCCGACGGTCGCGAGCTCGCACGCGCTGAGCTCTCCTCCTTGCGCTCGCCGCCCAAGACTTGGGGGCAACGGCCGCGCGGCAGGAGAGGGGGCCGCGGCGGGCCTCCGCCTCGCGGCGCCCTGCTGGCGGGGGGCCTTCCCGGTGGGGCGGCCCGCGCGCCGCGGCGCGCCCTCCCGAAGGGCCCCAGCGGCCTCGCAGGAAGTCGATGGCACGGCGGCTGCTTGACAGGCTGCCAGGCTCTGCTCCCGCCGTAGGCGCCTCATACAGCGCGGCCCGCGCCTCCTTGAGCCCCTCGAAGAGGCGGGGCGGCTCGTCGGCAGGGTTGCACTCACTCGGAACCCAGCGGGGCGCCACCCGTGAGCCCGTGGCGATCGAGGGGGCTGCGAGGCGGCGGACCAACTGCAGTAGCCCAAAGGAGGCCGCGCGCCCTCTCGAGAAACAAAGGGCTACACCGAAGTTGTCGATAAGGACGAGGTGCCTCTGGTGGTGCTGGTAACGGCCCCGAATTTCCAGACGCATGCCCTTTGTGACGGCCCTGCCCTCCTTGTTACCGATCGGCTCCTCGAACCTGTGCCTCCCGGCCCTCCAGCGCTTCCAAGAACGTCCCAAGATTGCGGTCTTTAGGATCTCGGGGAAGCCAGCCCGCGGCCGCCGGGGCGTCCGCGATGGGGGTCCAGATCGGCGACCAGTGCGCGACGACGAGGGGCCCGCTCCGACGGGGGCAGTCGTTCACACCTCCAGCGCTCGTTCCACCCCCCGATCTTCCCCACCTCGTCTCTGTTGAAGCCCGCCTCCATGGTGCCCCACCCGCTCCGCGAAGCGTCGGTCGCGAGGACAGATGGGGGCCGCGGACGCCCGAAGTTGCCCGAAAGCAGGGAGGCCAAGCTGGCGCAGACCAGGAGCTCCCAACACGCGGAGTCCCACGGGGGCCTCGGGGTCCAGTAGCAGTCCCGAATGAAGACGTAGGAGGCGCGTGAGACCGACAGCGCGGGCCGCTGGTTGAGGCCCTCGACGACGTAGTGGCCCAAGAGGGAGGCGCTCCAGGGCCTTGCCGGAGATGCGACCACCTCGAGCAGCGTGCCGAAGAGCACCCCGAAACGTCCAGGCCCGCTTGGGCCTCGCCCGAACCGTGCGTCTCACTCCGTTGAAGGAGGTACCCAGGATATCGGAGGACGTCGAAGCCCATGAGATCTCGCGTAGCACGAAGCCCTTCCCCTCGAAAACCCTGATGAGCTCCCGAAGTCGTTGATCAACGCGCTCTCTCGACATCCCGAAAACGGTTAGGTTGTCACAGTAGGGCAGAGCGATGGGTTCGTCGGACAGCCGGGGGGGCAGGCCAAGCATTTGACATGATTGAATCCTGACTGAACCCCGCCTCTCGGAGCAACTCGGCACGCAAGGCTTGGGCGATATAGAAGGGCCAAGTCCAAACCATCGGCGGCGCAAGCGAACGCGGGAAGACCTCTCCACTGTCAGGCAGCGATCTCCCCACACGTCCGACATCGATCCCCACTTTTTTGATGGGCCCACTTCCACGGCTTCGCAGCTGAAAAACTCGCTCAGCGCAGAGGGCACCTCGCACTGGTAAGCGCAATTCTGGATGTCCCCCGTCGCGACAAGTACAGGCGACTCTCCGTCTGGCGTATCGAGCCCGTGCATGTTTTCGGCCGAGCTCATCTCGGGCTTGGGGGGGGTGGCGGAAAAACTGGTTGACTCTTCGGCAGTCCAGGGCGAGTCTTTGGCGGCCTTGTTCTTTTTAACGAAGAACGGTGTGATCTGACCATTCGAGGCCCTGCAGAACCCCAAGATCCCACAATCATACAAACTTCTGAGACAAGTATGTCGGACATCTTCATCACCCTTGATTCTGACATTCATGCAGGATCTGACGGGCTCGTGGCGAAGACGGTACTCAGCCACATCGGCATCGGCCAAGATGTTACCAAGGTCGAGGCTGCGGCCGAGCTCAAAAGAAACAACATCAGTCAAGACGACTGGCGACACCTGCCCCTCCGGCACAAACACCTTCGTCGGGTCGCGCGGCTCGACCGCGCATGCAAGCATCTCGTAGCCCGCAGTGATACCGGCCAACTCACGCAAAGAGGCGCGGTCACTTTGCACATGATCGGGCATGCCCGAAGCGATGGTGGAGAACAGGTGCTGGTGAATTGCACTGTGCAAAGAGCTGCAGCCGCCCGCGGCCTCAGCCCCCTCACGCAGCGGCAACGCCGAGAGCTCCTGCGGGTCGCGCTCGAAGAGCAGGTGCAGGCCGTCAACCGCCTCCTGCGCCGCCGACTGGACGGCGTTCCAACGCGCGAGACGCAGCCGGGCCTGCCTGCCACTGCCGGCACAAGGGCGCTGAGCACGAAGAACGTCAGGAAGGAGAAAGAGGCCGCGGCCACAACAATTCCCCGCTGCTTCTTGCCGTCGGCGAGGCCAGACCCCAGGGCGACGTGCGCCAAAACTGCGGCCCGATTGGGGCCCCCTCAGACCTCGAGCCAGCTTTCATGTCAGAGACGGGGGCCACTACTGGCGACGCCGCCCCCGCTCCCTTCATCATTTCTTCGCGGAGACCGAGGGGTCCGCCTTGGCCTTCGCTGCCGCGACGCCCGCGGCCCTGGTCTCCCGTGCCTTCCGCACCTCTTTCAGAATCGCCGCCTCCTTGCTGAGCTCCGTAGCGACGCGAGCCCGCAGCGACGGCGCCGTCTGGGCGCCTCCCGAGCGCTCGCTGATGCCCAGGTAGTGGTCGGCCCCCACGTAGCTCGGCGCCTCAGGGTTCTCGGCCACCGCTTCCTCGTGCAAGGTCATGCGCCTTAGGAGGAGCTCACCCCCGACGATGTTCTTCTCGTTGAGCCCGTCCACCGTGACAAAAAGCTGAACGGCACGATGGGGGATCGAGTGCTCGTGGGCTGCCGAGCTGTGGGCCCTGACGCCGCTCTCGCGGTGCCACTTGCTGGCGCGGTCGATCAGGCTGGTGGCGCCACCCCTGACCACGGAGTCGACCCGCTCAGCTCCGACGGCGGGCCCCCTACAACGGCGAGGAGGGGGGGTCCTCCGCCTGCCGCGTGCACGCCGACATCGCCCCCGCCGCCTCGACCAGGGTCCGCTCCGACGAGGTGCGCGCCAGGATCCTCGGGTCGTCGCAGGGGAAGTTGCTGCGCGCCAGGGCCTTGCGGGTCAGGTCGACTCCTCCGGCGAGCTGCTCGAGGCTCGCGACGGCGCCGTCGATCACGACAAGCGCGCGGGTCCCGGGGACGGTCGCGCCCACTGGCAGCGTGAACTCGTCGCCGACGTCGTGGCCGACGAGGGGCTCGGTCAGGGCCCTCGCGCCTCCAGCGGGGGCCGGGCGGGCTCCGCCTGGCGCGGGGGCGACGACGGGCACGGGCGTCGCGACGGCGGCCGCGCCTCCTGGGGCGTCGCGATGGCGGGCCGCCTCGCCCAGCCGCGGGAGCCCGCAATGGACCCGCTCGAGGTTCGCCGCGTGGTCCGCCTCCGCGAGCAGCTCGCTGCTGTCGGCAGCGGCCATCGAGGCGAAGGTGCACAGCGCACTGCCAGGTGCAGGGGCGCCCCTCGGCCGCGCGTCGATCGATGCCGAGAAGCGGATCCCCCCCAAGTCCCCGTTGTTGAGGCTCAGCTGCTCCACGAGGACGTCGAAATCGGGCGTCGCGGCCGCGTGTGCATCGTTCTCGACGTGCGCGCCGACAAGTCGCGCGTGGTGCTCGCCCGCGCCGTAGTGCACCCAGGCGGCCGACCCGCGGCCCAGCATGGCAGCAACCGCCGCGGCCGCCATCGCGCCTAAGAGGTCCTCGGAGGGCGCGACGACCAGCGCGCCCTTGCCCCCGCGCTTGCCGCCCTTGCCTGCGGGGGGCGGCGCGACCGCCGCCGCGGGCGCGCCCGCGTCCGCCGCGCCGCTGGCGGCGGGCGCCTCGGCGGGCCCCGCCTGCAGCGCCCCGCGCGCGATGGCCGCCTGCGGCGGCTGCGCGGGCGGCTGGCCCACGAACCTCACTGCCCCGCGGCGGACGAGGTCCAGCGCCACCGCCGCGAGCACCGCGAGCGTGCGTGCCACGCCCGTCGCGAAGCCGAGGACGAAGAGCCCCCAGCGCGGCGCGGGCAGCAACTCCACCAGCAGCGGCGGAGGTGGTGACCCGCAGTGCTCCAGCTGCTTGGCCAGAGCAGCGCCGAGGTCTGGGCCCCC